AACAAAGCAAGCCTTTCAGGTACAAATCATTTCTGTGCCAGGGTATAAACTTGCATACTAATTTGCAACTTTTAGTCAGATTAAAAAAAAAATGTGCCCATTCAATTTGCCATTCTCCAACGACTCAAAAAATAAAAAAATTCTCGAATCGCCAACGATTCGAAATATAAAAAGTAGAGAAGTTACTTTGTATTATTATTTTATTTTAATTGAATTTTATTTTATTTATTTCTTTATTCGCGCAAATATGTATTATTGTGCTGATACATATATGTACAAGTATGTGCTTTCACAGTTAAATTTATAAATATGTACATACATAGGTTCGTAACGTAAAAGTATGTTCTTACTTACATACATACCTAATTCACTCGTCCCTGCATTTTTTATTACGTAATTGCTTGGTTTATGGTATTTAACAACTTACTCATATTATTCCACTAGCCGAATGACTAGGTGTTAGAATTCTCCAATGAAAACCGAGAATCAAATTGTCAATATTATGTGCTGGCTTTTGCGTTGGGTAGTAGTATGGATATGTATTAAAATGACCGCATAAATATGTACATATAAACGTATGTACTTATGTATGCGCAAACATTTACACACACGTGTACATACATACGTATATAGATATGCACTTACCGAACCCACGCGACACGACCACAAGATGGCTTCCCATTTCTTCGTGGCGAACACACGAATTTCACTTTTTCACTTTTTCACGCAATTTCTTAGCTGCAATGAAATAGAATCGCACTATATATATTTTTTATTACTACTTGCACTTTTAATGCTGCAATGCACATTTGAATACAAATTAAATAAATTACACTTTTGCACAATATTATCCCGCTTATCGGATTGAACTCGCGCACCATACGAACTTAAATATATCCGAGGCAAAAGTCTACTGAATACTGAAAATTAACCTACACTCTCAGTTCATCACAGCTGATTTGCAATTTCCAAATATTTATTTTTCCAGGTCCTCACTCTGAAAAGAGTTTGAATGAAGATAGGTAACTCACTCGAAAACTCTCAATTTGCAAATTTGGAAATTGATTTTGCGCTAGCCGATTGCGCAACAAAAAAAAGTATTTCAAGAGCGGATGAAGAGTGCACGGGAAACGGAAATGAACTCTAACTCATAGAGAGGTGGAGAGCATATTCAATTTACTTCCATTTCCTTAGTGCTCTCTTCCGGTTTTTTTTTTATCTCATGATACAAAACTTTAGGCGGAAGCACGTACATAATTGCTAGCTCTCACATTTTCAAGCACAAAATCACTTCCGTTTCTCATATGTTCTTTCTGCTCTTATTTTGTATTTTTTGCAGCGTGATCTGGTGCTTTAAATGTTAAGGTTAAAAGTACATCCATACAAACTAATTTAATATTAAAGAGTCTTTAATTTATTTTCAGTGTTTTTACTATTTTTAAACTGATGGAAAGATGTTTTTCCAGGTGAACAATCGGTCAAGATGTGAGACGGTAGGCATTTTCAGTATTCAGTGGGCATTTGCAGTGGAAATTGGTTTGGTTAATCTGTGGTTGTGAAAGTCACTTTAAATAAATTTAGTGTAACAGAAATATACTAATTTTATTACAAGTGTATATTTATAAATAAGTACAATTTGCTTAAAAATTATAGTTGCATATAGCTATTTAAAAGCTATTAACGAATGAAGTGAAAAAGTGAAAATAGTAAATTATTGCGTGATCGGGTGGCGTCGGTTCGGTACATTTATGTATACGAATGTGCATGCAGATGAATTGCATGTGCTGTATATCTATGCATGTATGTACATTAGGGTGGTCCAAAAACAGTAAAGTTGGAATCTTTATTCTCTCACCCCCTAGGATTGTTCTATATGGAAAAAAGTATACCGCTATTTTTTATTTTGAAATCATAAAATATTTAGAGGTCGCTCAAAGCGCTCAAAGTTTTCCATGTATTTTTATATGGGAAAAATTAAATTTTTCGTAGAAATGGTATAGAATTCTTGAAAAGCAAAAATTTTCGATCGGAAAACTCTGGTTCTCTTCAGGAGACTTTCGATAGTAGTTCCCAATTGTTTATTTAATCATTTTTAAAGAGGAAATTTCTTTAGAATTTAAAATAATTAAAATTTTTTGGATTCACAAGGACGAATATGTAATCTTTTATGTTGATAAAGTAGGGAAAGGACGAAATTCGAGGACGTTATCGAGTTTATAACGGTCCTTAACATATAGTTGTTTCAAAAACAAATATTGCGTATTTTCAAGGATAAAATTGTAAAAGGACATTTTCAATACCTACCAGTCCTTGTGCACCAAAAAATTTAATCTGTTTAAATTCTTCAGGAATTTCCTTTTTAATGTGATACCCATACTGACGTCAGAGTGAAAAAACTAAAAACACAATTTTACTATATTTGGCCCATGGTTTCGCGAATATATTGAATTTTGTGTGTAATATTACACATTACATTATACTATTAGATACATACATATATTACATTATTATTATTATATTACATTAAAAAAAAAATATTAAAAAAAGGAGTTTATATTATTACCGTAAGTGCAAATTACAAATCCCACAAAAAGGCAGGGGTCCCATTCCTAATTTGTACGTATGAACACAAGCAGTCAGATTCTCACGTAAACAAATCTCCCATTGATAGTGGCAATTAAAATTGCCCTGATTTGCGTGGCGATTTCCTGCAACTCAGATTATGTCATTAGTCCTTCAAAAATATTTCTTAACTTCTCATTTTATTGACATTCTCGCAATAACGTGATTGACATACATTCGTTCCTAACGTGGATAATGCAGTGTATGATTACTACGAGCCTAAAAGTATACACCCAATTAATCAACAAACTATGTCGGAATAATAATACCCAGCCTGCAAAATAGTCGGATGCGCTTTCTATCTGATATTAATTTTTTCTGCACTACGCAGTTAAAAAAAAAAGAATAGAAGAAATAAAAAAAAGTAAGAGTGCCTGGGCCACACTGGAGAAGTGAAACTTACTGTGGCGAATACTGCGGCAACACAAAGCGAACAACGAGAAATAGGCAGAATGTTCGAAGAATGACGTAGAATGTTCCACAAAGAGAAACGTCAAGTTGGATGAACACTGCGAACAGCGAGCGAAAGAGAATGAGCGATAAACTTCAGAATGTTCTAGAGTTGCCATAAGTGCCAGCGCAGGTATATAAGGGCGCCGCCACCACGAGGTGAGTTAGTTACAAGTCAGCAAGCTACAAGTAAAGTGAGCGGAGAATTGAGTG